AGAGAGAGAGAGAGAGAGAGAGAGAGAGAGAGAGAGAGAGAGTTGCTTTGGCTAATTGAAATATCGAGATAAATTTGGTGACAGTCGGCGGCGGCACAAGCAGTACTCTTTGTTCCTCTAAAAACAGAAACTTTCTGCTGCCGTTGCATCCGCAGTGGTAGTTGCAAAAACTGCTTCTACTGCTGTACAGAAGAAAACTGCTGACAAGGATGGATGTGCTGAAGTGCGGCAAGTGAAAGGGGCTAACATACTTGCTTATGTGATAGCATTTTCTGTTACCATTCTGCTGCACTCAGTGAAAGTGTGTGTGTGTGTATGTTTACCCGAGCAAACCCAGGGCAGATTGCGCATTGAACCGACCGATTAATTCCAAAGCATTCGATCGATTCTGTTAGCAGTGGCGGCGGCAGTGCACTGTGCCTGGTTCTGTCGATTACATCGCTGCATACAAACAGCACCGCTGCAAAAGTAAGATTCTGCTCAGAAGATTCTGAGGAGTCAGGTCGCTGCCGCCGCAGCGGTCGTCGTCGCCGTCTGCAGAGGTGAAGAAGAAGGTGTGGGCGCATTTTTGCTGTGTCAGAGAAGGCATCACTCATAGCTTTTCCACTGCAGTGCCGTTTGGCATTTTTGCATTAGAAGAGGGGAAAGAAAGGGAAGAAGAAGGCATGAAAGCATTCGATCGTTTGTTGTTGTGCAGCGGCAGCTGATGCTGATCAGACAGACTGTCAGGCAACCAACAAACGAGGCAGTTCTCGACAGACCACTTCTCCGCACAGAGCTGAACGAAGCGATTCTTCATGCAAATGTGCCCCATTCCACCCATTGCACAGCAGCTCTAATGAAGCCATGAGCATCAGGCAGGCAGGCAGGCACATCAGGCAATGTAGAAGCACTGCTGTGGTAAGTTGGTTGTGTGTTCTCGGAGAATCAATGAACTCTTTCCCTCTTTTTCCTTTTCGCCGTCTTACTTTTTTCCTTACTGCCGTACGTTCCCCTGATTCGGCTGCCGCTCTGGGGCTCTGCTAATATTAATTAGTAAGTAGTACCAGCGGCGGCAGCAGCAGCAGCAGCGGTAAGTTTGCCGACACTGCGTAAACATTCGATAGGGAGAAGATCGGCTCGGAAAGAAAAGGGAAGAAAGAAGGGAAGCAAACAGAGTGCACTGCTACTGAGAAGACGACAAAGATAAACAGCCAGTCAGACAGACAGAAAAAAACAGTAGTGCAAGTGACTGTCAATTGGGTGAATCACTTAAATTGGTGTGAGGCCACCAAACTTTTGTCTGAGATGGGCAATTTGTATGCGCACTGTGCGCCCAATCAAATGATCCAAATGAACCAGCTAGGGGAGCAAATGAATGAAAGTGAAAGAAAGTAAACTTTGCTAAAAGAATGTAATGAGCCAAGGGAAGGGGATAATGCAAATACAAAGTATAAAAGTAGCTGGTACTATGTGTAAATTTGTGTGTGCAGTAATTGCGCATTTCGTTGGTGGCACCGGAGATGCTGATGCTGCTGGTGCTGGACCAGCAGTGCACACTGTTTGTCCTATCCAATGGACATTCATCACAGCTTCCTTTCTCTCTGTGTGCCTTGTCGGGCAAAAGGAGAATATCTTAATCTGTAAGACAAGAAGAAGCTAGCTAAAAGCCTAGAAGACTACTACTACTACAGTTTACTTCTGCCTGCTCAGTGCAGCTCGCTAATCGCTTTTATTTCTCCTACAGCACACACAGCAGATAATCTTGTTTGGTTGACATCGTCAAAACATACACACAAACAGTCAGCACTGCAAAGACGGTCTCGGCAAACTTTGCTGAGATAGATTAGTAGTTGGCTTCAGTCAAGAAAGAAAGAGCACCCGTTTACAGGGTGATTGATCGACACACAACTGCTGCCACTGGCCAACTCGACAGTGGCTAAATTTGCAAACAGACAGACAGTGTCCGGTTGGGCAGTCAGTCAGTCAGTGGTGATGGTCACTGTCCTCTCCTCCCCTCTTCGGCGTGTCCATCTTAACCACCATCAAGTTCATCATCATCATCATCATCTGAAACAGTGTTTCGAGCTCTTGAGCTTTGCGCGGCCGACGTTTGGCCGAGGACATTTGACCGCAGTGCTGTTGTCACCACACAGTGCTAATGAGCGAGAGGATGAGCTCGATGTCGCAATGTCAAGCACTGCTGCTGCTGCTGATGAGTTTTAGCAAGCTGCCGGCAAGCAGGCACTGAAAGTGCGATGATGGCCATGTTTCACCCAAACAGTCTGCGACAGTGTGCTTCCATTGCAGTAATGGTGCTAATCAGCGCTCAATTATTAATTGGTCGATAGCATCGGCAATAAGCACTGCTTTACCAGTGCATCAAAGATGATGAGGCGATCAGAGGGAGAGAGGAAAGAAGAGTAGCAGTAGCGCAAGAAGATGCATTGCACATTCGGCTAAGCTTTATGCGAGCTATTACAAGACGGCAGCTAGTCGATGTTGACAAGAAAAGCAGAAGCAAGAAGGACGAAGCTAGAGCTTTCCTTGCCCTCCGCCGCCGCCGCCGCCGTCTAGACGATAAAGAGCTGCTGAAAAAGGGAGCTGCACAGCTCATCGCTGCAGTTTTCAGCAGCTGATAAGACGAGGACGGGCAATACTGATGCCGATGGAGTGTAGCTAAGAAGGAGAATCATCACCATCATCGCAGATGAATGGATGCTACTTCTAAAGGAGCGCATTCACTCGGTAGCAGTTCACAGTAGCTCAGACTGCGAGTTGCAGCTTAGTAGTGCTGTGGTAGTAGCAGGTTCAACGGTCTACCGCTGCTGCAGCTGCTGTTGCTGTTTGTACAAAGGTAGAAGTACACTGAAGCAGTGAGAGAGAGAGAGAGAGAGAGAGAGAGAGAGAAGTGAATGAGTTGGGCAAAGTTGTGTCAGGTCACTGCCGCCAGCAACATTAAAAGAAACTGCTAAACAAGAAAAAGAAAAAGCAGAAGAAGAGGTTGGAGTTCACTCGGTGCAACTTTTTTTCATACTGACTTTGATGAGGTGTGCTTTATTGTATGTAATTGTGTGAGCACAGTGTGTCAATCTCTCTAGCTCTGTGTGCTCTATGAGAATGTGTGCAATTAGCGGTGTGTTGGCCATCACCGAGGTCCCGGCAGCCATTGATTGACAACTTGAATCAATCAATGTTGATCCTTGGTGAGCACCATGACGGACATGTGCACTGAGCGGCGCTGAACTTTGCAAGTTCAGAACAGACTGATGGGTGCTCGGCACGACAACAACAAGCAATGGCAGTGATGCTTCACTAAACAGACATTAAACTCTCTACAAAGTGTACTTTTGCCCTCAAGGGCTACAATGCCACTTCTAATGACCAATAGAAGTAGTAGTAAAAGCAGTAGGTCACTGAAGAAGACTGAAAATTGAAAAAATCGGTTCGAAAACTGCATCAACTCTAGTTCAAAGCTCGTCCACCAGCTGGCGCTATGATCGACCTCTTTTATCAGCCATAGTTTGCATTCAATGCTCTCGGATCTCTTGCAAAGTGCACTGCCATTTCGCCGGTATTCACGTGGCGCCCGGCATCATACGAGGGGCAACCTACGGAGCAGACGCCAACAGTCGCCGTTGCNCTCTCTACAAAGTGTACTTTTGCCCTCAAGGGCTACAATGCCACTTCTAATGACCAATAGAAGTAGTAGTAAAAGCAGTAGGTCACTGAAGAAGACTGAAAATTGAAAAAATCGGTTCGAAAACTGCATCAACTCTAGTTCAAAGCTCGTCCACCAGCTGGCGCTATGATCGACCTCTTTTATCAGCCATAGTTTGCATTCAATGCTCTCGGATCTCTTGCAAAGTGCACTGCCATTTCGCCGGTATTCACGTGGCGCCCGGCATCATACGAGGGGCAACCTACGGAGCAGACGCCAACAGTCGCCGTTGCTGCTGCTGCAGCAGATTGTCTCGGTGAGCAATTCAGACAGTTACATTTGGTCAACACTGGCAAAGTCCACCGTTGATGTGGTCTGACAGCAGACTGTCGTCAACAGGAGGAGAAGGAGGACAATAACAACAACAACACCGACGTCGCTGACAACAGAAGTAGAAAAGGCAAAGGTTTTTCCTACGTTTGCATAAATCAAATCAGCGGGATGCACCGCCGCCAGCATTGGTAGCAGAGATTAGATAGAAGCGGGTGGCGTGGTGCACTGCACTGACACTGCAAGTGACGCAAGTGTAGAACTTTCTCTCGTTCGAGTGTTTGTTGTTTTTGTTGACAATCACACATTTGGTAACGGTGCGACAGCATCTACAATACTAGTCTAGCCAAGTCTAGCACAATAGTGGTGAATGGGTAGAGGATGAGGGGGAGGAGGAGGAATTTGCACTTACTTTCGTCGATTGTCACGGAGTCACGTTGCGAGGAGGAGGAAGCAGAGGAGGCTGATGCCGATGCCGAGGAGGGTGACGATGTTGACGACGGCGACGAGAAGGAGAAGGACGTGAAGAGCGAGAACCAGGAGGACTTGGAGCGCGGCTGCTGGTTGGCCCCTGCCGACGATGATGATGACTGGTTGCGCTGCTGCTGCTGAGACGAAGAGCTGGAGTGGGTGTTGGAGTGCGAAGCAGTCGAGTACGAAGAAGAAGAGACGGCGCCGCTAGAAAAGTTGGTGGTGGTGCTGCTGCTCGATGAGTGCATCTTGCGACCGCCGTCGGCGAACTGCACTCGCCGCTGATTACCACCGCCGCTGTTGATGGCATTACCGGCGCCGTAGTGTCCGACGGGAGGATGGGCAGGCCCGGCCTCGTTGCCACTTCCGTTGCCGCCGCCACCGCCGCCGCTGCTGTTGCTGAGTCCGTCAAAGTCCATGATCATCAGTTCTTCGTGGTTGATGGCTCCGTCGCTGTCAATGCTGCCAGTTGTGCTGCTGCCGCTGATGCTGCTGGTGCTGTTAGTGCTGCTGGTGCTCTCGGACATTGAATCAATGCCTCGGCCGCCGCGCTTGGCATTTAGATTTCGACCATTACTGTGCTGCATCGCCTGCTGTTGCTGCTGCTCCTGTCGCTGCTGCTGGTGCACCACCGACAGCGCCGTCTGCTGCTGCGAGTAGTGTCGACAGCGCACCGGTCGCACCGAGTTGCCGTTGATGTAAGCGATCGGTTCTGCGAAATTGGAAAAAGAATCACAGAATATTTTTAGTATAACAGTTTTGTTGTTGGTTGATTTTAAGAGTGACACTTACGGACGTGGTGCGCCGCCAGTGAGGGCTTGACGGAGGGCCGATCGGAGAAGAGGTCGTGCCCGGGAATGGAGTGCTGCTGCAGCTGCAGGTGCTGATGGCGGAGCTGCTGCTGAATGGCCGCAGAGGCGGCGGCGGCCGCAGCCGCATCCTCCTGGTAGTGGTTCCAGTTGGTGGAAGAACGCTGCTGCTGGTGATGGTGGTGGTGGTGACGATGTCCACCACCGCCACTTCCTCCATTGCCAGCATTGCCACCAGTGCCCTCAGCATTGTTGTTGTTATTGTTGCTCAGGGCAAAGGGCGAGGACGTTGCCTTGGAGGACGTCTTGAGGATGGGGTCTGACTCGAGCAGGTACGATTTAGTCATCTTCTTGCTGCTGGCGCTGCTGCTGCTGTTGCTGCTGTTGCTGTTTGGCAAGACTGGCGAAGAGTCGGTCATAACACAGGTAGGGAGAGATAGAGTGGTTGTGAGTTCAAAGGTAGGTAGGTAGGTAGGTTCGGTCTAAAATGGTTCAGAATTTAAAAAACAGAGGAAAGGAAATCAGGACTGAGTTTCCGGTGTATTAGAGATGTGTGCAGTGATGTCAGCAGGGAGGGGTGGGGGTGAAGTATGTGAGATCGAGAAAGGAAGGAAGAATCAAATTTTGCAAGCTGAGAAAGACTTTATTTTTATTTTTTATCTACCCTGTTTTGTGGAGGGTAGTGTTTGTGTGTGTATGTTGTGATTGCGCGGCTCAAAAATGAGATAGATAGAGAGGAAAGAGATTTGATTGCATCAAAGACCAGAGTGAGTTGAGGGGGGAAGAGGAGGAAAAAGAGTGTGCTGATGAATGAAAAGACGGCGACTGTGCTGGCTGGTAATGGCAATGCCCCAGTTTGAAGTCTGAACTTAATGAAAATCAGCGACAACGAAGTCGAAGCTAGCTGAGAATGAGAAGGGAAGAATGACAACAATTGCAGTGTAGAGAATGTGTTCAGTCGTCCTCAACGAGACGCGTTGACAACGAGTCACCAAAGCTGACAGATCTTTGGTAGGGCGACTGCTGCTGAAGACTGAAAAGGCTGACGAGGCAGAAGAAGAAGAAGAATCTTTGGTTAGAGAATGAGTGAGTGGGTGAGTGAGTGAGTGAGGTGATGAGATCTGCTTGAGATATGCTTCGGAACGTGCAGCAAAGTGGTTGGAAATATGAGAGAGGGGGAGTGAGGTGCTGTTTGACACAAGAGTTGGAACGTGTGGCTGACGTGGGTAATTCGAAGGCAAGAGGTATTCGAGGTGGTGGTGGTGGTAACACAGTCAAATTGGCTAAGAGGTGAATGAAATGGTGACGGCGGCAAAGCAGAAGACGAAAAAGTACATCTGAAGTTAAAGTCAAAGTTGGCTGTCAGACTGTCAGTGTGTGTCTGTCGGAGCAAGTTGAACAAAGAATGGTGTATATGCAGACTCAAGAATAGAAGAATGGAAGAATGGTGGATGACAGAATGAAAAGAGAGAGAAGGAGAATTGCAAGTGCTGAGATAAACTGTGAGTCCCAAGAAGGAGGTAGGATTGCTGCTGCTGCTAACTCAGTCGACAGTTGACGGCCAAGTGAAAAATAGTCAAATATTGACGGCACTATTTATTTGACTCGGCCAGAGAAGTAGAAGAAGTAGAATAGAGTGAAGAAGAGTGGCGACGGTGGAGGAGTTGGTACTGTCGCTGGTAGTTGTGCTCTCAGTCGAGACACTCATAGAACATTGTGGTGGTGGTGGTGGTGGTGGGCTCCCAGACTGAACAGAAGTAGAAAGATTGTACGTGTATGTGTGTCGACCACGAACAGTGCCCAACCAACAGCAGCAAATGTGTTGGCAATCGTGGACGAGCGTGCACACGGAGCGGCGACTGAGAATCGAATGACGGCGAAGGCAAAGTCGTCGACGAGTGGCCGTCGTCGAGGCAGAGTAGAGAATCCAGTCAGAGGGCTGGTGCTGCTGCTGGCAGCAATTGTCTTCCAGTTGTACACGGCGTGGTTGACTGTGGTCGGCACTCACTGCTTACTCTCTCTCTCCTGACTTTTGACACAACTTGGGTGCAGTGATAAGTTCCTCTACGACCACTGCCTTCGACGAGCAGGAGTGGTGAGGCGGATCTTTCTGAAGTGGGACAAACTCGGCAGTCTTTCTCTTCTCCAAAGTGTAAATCGTCCACAGCTTGGCAGTCACTTCCATCAGCCTCTGCTTTTCTCTCTGTTCGTTGATGCGCCCAGAGTGGTAACTGACTGGCTGACTGGCTGTCGTCTGCTCCTGCTGCCACTACCATCACCTCAATACAGAGGTAGTAGTGATGGTGGTGGGGTGATAAAGGCGGTGGAGGTGATGTGGTTGACTGCTCTCCTGTGCTAGTGGTGGTACACAGATGCATGAGCGCAGAGGGGATCCCTGCTTGTATGAGAGAGTGCGAGCGAGCGGGCCAGAACAGACGAAAATGAGAGAAAGGTGTAGCAGCTTGGAAACAGACGAAAAATTGAAGAGAGAGAAAGAGAGAAAGAGACGGACAATGGAACTACAACTGCTTCAGCTGCTGCTGGTGGCACTGCGCAGAGACTTTGAAGTGGATGCGGCCACTTTCTGGTTCCATAGCTGCTGCCACTGCCTGGCAACTGCACAGCTCTCAACTGTGCTCCTCTCTAGCCACACAAAAGTGTAGGTGGAGGCGCCCAAGCTGGCAAGCTGGAACTGCAGCAGCAGCCACTGCTAGTGGCACACTGATCTGTGCCAGTTACCGCCAGTTACTACTGATGCCATGCGCCATTAGAAAAGTTAAAGAAGGGAGAGAAAATACTTACACAATGGACCAGGATGAGGTGGAGGTGTTTGCCAGCCTGGGGGAGAGAAACAAGAGAAAGAGGGGGAAGGCAGCAATGGNACAAAAGTGTAGGTGGAGGCGCCCAAGCTGGCAAGCTGGAACTGCAGCAGCAGCCACTGCTAGTGGCACACTGATCTGTGCCAGTTACCGCCAGTTACTACTGATGCCATGCGCCATTAGAAAAGTTAAAGAAGGGAGAGAAAATACTTACACAATGGACCAGGATGAGGTGGAGGTGTTTGCCAGCCTGGGGGAGAGAAACAAGAGAAAGAGGGGGAAGGCAGCAATGG